AGGAAGAAAGGGATCCTAAGCTTGGTGTTTTATTGCCTTATGTGGAACATTTGATTGGCCATGAATGACAAGTATTTTAACAAAATCGGTGCACCCCCAATGAGAATCGCTAACAAAATCATCTCTACTTCCTATCTCTGGTGCAAACATAGAAGCAATCTTGGCTGTGGAGCATGAAACGATTGGTGTATTTCACCATTCTCTCATCTTTCTTCATAACTTTGTCCTTTTGTTTAAATTTCTTTCTCTTGTACTTGTATTCTGCCTCGTTTTAGCTTCTTGCTTGCGAGTGCCTTTTTAATGATATTTTCCGTTTCCAAAAAAAATCAATTCTAGTTTTTATTTGTATTTTTAAAACCCGATTATTACTTCTATGACTCTGTAATTTCTTGTTAGCTCATTGTGAGTTGTTTTTTAAATATATTTTGATGTTCCAAAATAAAACATCACATCCCACATTATTTCATGAAGCAAACAAACTCAATTAACTTTTCTCTATAAATTCAAGAGGACTTTCTAAGCATACTAAAAATAATTTCTTGGCCTTCTTGTCAATGTTTGACTAAAAGTTATTTCAAAATTTTGAAAAATATTATACTAAAAATAATTTCTTGGCCTTCTTCTCAATGTTTGACTAAAAGTTATTTCAAAATTTTGAAAAATATTTAACAGCTATTAGAACATATTATCATCTATTCTACGATAAGTTCTAAAATTGAAAGAACCGTTATGATCATTTCTTTGACTGTCATAGTTTCAATAGTTTAAAAAATGACAGTTTTAGTTTCGTGTCTGGTTTCATGAAATCTGGTTACACTACAAGAATATCGATCATTAGTGGCGACGGGCGTTGCCGCTAAAGGTCCAAAATGTCGCCACTAAAGGTATTAGCGACGACATGTCGCCGCTAAAGGGTCGCCGCTGTTGGTTCGTCGCTATTGCCTTTCCGTCGCCGCTAATGCTCTCCGTCGCCACAAAAGGTGTCGCCGCTATTTATATGTATATCTATAAATACATAATACACATACAAAATACACATATACATATAAAACACATACACATACATAATACACATACAAAATACACATACAAAATACACATATACATACAAATGTACATACAAAAACACATACAAATACACAAAATACATTCCAAATAGATATATACATACAAATACACAGCCAAATCTACAAACACAAAATACACATATACAAAATCAAAATTCCGGAGAGAACACTGGTGGTGGCGGTATACTCCAGCGAGAACGGTGGGACATCTCAAAATTCCAGCAACCAACAGAAATGATGGAAATTTATAAGGGGGAAGAGAAAAGGAAAAGAAAAGGAGAAAAAATGGAGAAGAAGAGGGGTGAAATTGCGAAGATTTCGGTGACATTCCGATGAGGTCGACAGTGGTGAGCAAAGAGAATAAAGAAAACACAGAAGATCGGAAAAGAAAGTGAGGACGAAGAAGGTTTTATTGTCGACGCTCTTTTGCAGCGACACCTTTAGCTGCGACAGATACTCATTAGCGGCAACACGTTGGAGGGAAAACAACACGGGGTTTCCAACATCGTTGGATCACTGCTTAAATCGATGAATGGGGTTGAAATGACGCGGATCGTCAACATAAACCTTTAGCAGCGACATGCACTCTTTTGTGGCGACACGTCGAAGGGAAAACAACACGGGGTTTCCTACGGCCTCCTAGTCGTTGGATCATTGCTTAAATCGAAGGATATGATTGAAATGACGCGGATCGCCAACATAAGCCTTTAGCGGTAACGGACATTTTAGCGGCGACAAAAACGCGTTTATTTGTTGTCGCTGCTAAAAGTGTCTGTCGTCGCTAAAGGTGTCGCTGCTATTACCGGTTATTCTTGTAGTATTAGGTACCCGCTAGTGCAAGCTCTATTGTTAAAAATATCAAATGACTATAATAAAAGATAAGTAATTATCTTAAACGATATTGTTTTGATGACATCAGTTATTAGCGACATATACACAATTAACTTCTTCGATGATTTTTTAAATGTGGTATGGATCAACATTCGGATAAGCCACTGGTTCAAAAGAAAACACTATTCTCCAACAAAGTATGAATGATGCTTTTTGGGACATGGACATGCCTCTTTAAATATAAAAAGGAAAAAAGAAAAGAAAAAGAGTTATCCTTGTTTGAACCCTGGTAATTTTACCATGCTAAGCGTTAGAACTTGGTTGGTAAATGGTAATGTCAAAAGGGTGGGTAGATATATGAGGTGGATTAGGGTTATTTATGTAATTAAATGACTTCAACTCCTCCATGAAAAAGAGATATGATAAAAAAGATTGTCCATATCAAGATTGTCCCATTAAGGTATCCAAATAAAGCCACTAGTGATGCAAAATGTATTAAAGTTGGTTTGTACACTTTACTTAAAAAGGAAAGAACTGCAACTAATGTGATTTAATTTGTGTGGTTTTAAGATTATGGTTCCTTTTGATGACAACGTAATGGTCCCACCGCCAAAAATAATCAAAATTGAAGAGAGCAAAAGGACTTTGTGATGTATAGCTAATTAACAAGTGAGCAAAAAATCAAAGATCAAGAAAGCAAAAGGACCTTGTGAGGTGTAGTTAATCAACTAGTGAGCCATTGTAAGGGTCAAATAAGTGTCTAATCCGTGGATAATGACATTTGTCACATAAAATATAAATTATTTAGATAGATTAAGTTAGAGATAATATCAAATTAAAGATCACATCTCTGTTATGTTAAGTCAAAGGTTTCATATGTAAAAGATAACATCACAATATAATAGGGATGTCAAAAACCCCCGCGGGACCCCGTTCCCGTGGGACACCGATACCGTACGAGACTAATTTTTTAAAAAATTTGGGAGCGGGAGCGGGGGCGGGGCGATATTAACTCCCGTTTATTTTCGGGACCGGGGGCGGGAGTGAGTATTTCTGTCCCGTACTCCCGCGGGGACCCCGTTTATATATATATATATATATATATATATATATATATATATATATATATATATATATATATATATATATATATATAACTTTAGTGATGTTTTATGTTTGATCAATTTTTGATTTATTAAGGGCTTACATGTTTGTTTATATACAAAAGTTATTAAAAATAATATTTTTAGCCTACAACAAAGCAATTTTTTAGCAAAAAAAATCCATTTTTAAACCTATAAACCGGGAGTACCGGGGGAACGGGGGCGGGACCGGGGGCGATGGAGGTAACCAGGGGCGGACCGGGGTGATGATCACAATTTTGTTTTCGTTCTAACTTTTTTCTATAAGGGTGTATACTGGACATTAGATTATGTGGTTGATATTAAAAGACGCACTTCTTTGCATTTTTCTATTCTAATGAACGCGCTATGTCTTTTTCTTAATAGGAATTGAGAGTGATCGAGTAATTATACAGTGCATGCACATTGTTAGTGGCATTTCAGATTTGGTTTTCGCTTTTGTCCAAAAAATCTTTTTAAGCTTGCAACTCATGGAACGGTGTAAAAGGCAATCACATAAAAGGTTTAAAGGGTTCGATCTTTCTAACACCTATTTTGACGAGGTATGCCATTTTGTTATCTTGATGTAAAGATCAAAAGCTAATTCCTGATGAGCCAAGATTCCGGCGAGGTTTGTAGGGTTGTGTTTCCTCAATAATATGTTTTCTTTTACTTTGTCGACAAGCATATTAGTTTTTATAATAATAGAAATGTAGCCACAGCTCTAGTTGACGTTTTATATAGCACTCAACGATATATAACATATATAATATATATGTTCATATATTAATTTTAAACACAGAAAACCTGAATCTTATGAATCTATCCAAATATATATACGAGTTAGATCATATTAAAGTACAACCCCACATATGAAAGATTTATCTATTATATGTTTACATAATATATTATATTCTCTTAAACAACTAAATAAGACACACCTTATTTTACTCCTAAATAGATATATTTTGTGTCCAACAACACTTACACCCTCAATTTTCGGTAAATATTTTATATCAATACCATATATACACTGTTAAGTAAGTGTGAATGATATTGATAACGTCAAAATTTACCATCGTATACATTTTTCAATGTTTGGGTTATAGATCTCTTTTTTCATGCCCACATTTCTTGAAAAGTTTATGTTGCATTCGGAAGGAAATAGTGGTTAATTTAGAGTAGCAACAAAAATATTAATATGCTAAATTATATATTTGAATTAATATAGTTGATTTTTGCAATTATGATCCTAAAATGTATATTGTTTTGGTTATTATTTATGGTTTCGTAACGCTTTTGGTTATATTTCCAAAAAAAATTTATTTTCTTAAATAAAATTAGAAAAATCAGCTAAATCTTAACCATGGACCAATAGAATTGTTTTACTTGGAACAATAACACAATATAATTATATATTACAATTAAGAACCTCAAATGATTATCAAAATTACAACAAAATGAGTTTTTTTTAACCAAAGTTACAAAAATAAAGTTATACTCATTCACTGTCTTAAACTATGAATACTTAATATGGTTTTTATATTAAATTAATTAGGTGTGGGATCTATATATATATACTACACGAGTTTATTAAAAGTAAAAAGTTTAATATCAATATATAAACATTAAACATTTTATAAAGTAATTGAAAAAAAAAAATAAATCAATGAGTTTGTAACATTTATGTGAACTTATTTTCAAATTAATAAAATGATAACCTTATATAAATAGAACAAGAACATTCCATATACATAACCGTAAATTTTTGAAATTTAATGTAAGAATGAAAAAACTCAAAAAATGATAAGTAGTAAATAAGAAAATGAAAAAAAAAAAAAAAAAAAAACATGTATCAAAAAAAAAAGACATGTGACAAAAAAAACATTTATTTATTAAAGAATTACTATTAAAAAAAGATATTAGATATTCATAGTTTAATATAAAAACCATATTACAATATTCACATTTTAATATTGTGATGTCCATTATCATGATTTTTAACCTATTGTGTGACACGATACATACACTAAATTTCTATTGACATATTACACAAATTGTGCATGTTGTATATATTACAGAAATATGCATGTTTATATATAACCAGCTGTAGAAAAGTTTAAAAATCGTTCTTACCTTTTAGGGTTTATGTAGTGGCTCAGGGAAAAGAAGATGGGGGCGTCTCTCACTTTTATCGTTTTTTTCCTTTTTGGAATCGTACCCACTGTCGACAATTACTCATCTAAGAGTACCAATTTATGCCCGGTAACTGATATGGTTGCCGGAAAACGCCGTCTTCAAGAGACCCTAACATTGCTTGCTGTTGCATTTGTTGTGTTTGTGGTAGCTGGCTTAATAAACTTGCAATGGAACCACTGTTTTCCTCGTTGTTTCGTGTAGCCATGACACTAACATCACTATTACTTTCAGTGAGAAACCTTTTCGTGTACATGGATGATGAATTACCTGTGTTGCCGGCGCCGGCGCCGGCGTCTTCGTTCCAGAAAAGACCCGGCATGGATCTCTTCATCGGAAGGAGATTGGAGGTGTTGGTGTCGGTATCATTTGAGTTTAATCTAGCATCAAACATGAGGTTATGTTCATGATTCTCCATCATTGCATTATACCCCACACCTGCAGTCGGCTTCACGATTGTTCCTTGGTGGCCGCCGGCAAGCGAGATTGACGGAGGTATAGACGACAACATCCCGTTCATGGTGTGAAGATGATCACCACCATCGCTATCCATCGGTCTCTGTAGATTGTTCTTCTTGTAGATTCGACACAGAACCCAATCATCTAACTAAAATTTTATTAAACGAATATTTAAAACTTATACCCCAATCAAAATCATCCAGAACTCCATAAAAAAATATAAAACTTTCAAGCTTTTGAATTAATAAAATTATTACCCTTAAGGAACCTTTTTGTTTGGTGGGATCACATCCATGGGGTTTCGAGATTGTTTTACCATCAGTTAATCGATATTCATGCATGATCCAATTTGTCTTAACCCCTTTCGGTGGCTTCCCTCCATAAAAAACCAGTGCCTTCTTCACACCAACTTTCTGCGTCCCACCGGACGTCATCACCGGCTTATCAGTTCCGGTAGCTTTCCAGTACCCAGAATTCGCCGCCCGGTTAGGTCTAGCTCCGTTCGGGTACTTCCGATCCCTCGGGCTAAAGAAGTACCATTCTTGCTCCCCAAACGTCGCCTTAGCTGTAATATACGCCATTAAAACCAGAAAACAAACAGAGACGAAAAGATGGATGCAGGGAGTGATCATAACAGTCACCTGGAAGCTCCCATGGATCGAACTTGTAGAGGTCTATTTCTGCGATGATCGCCACCGGAAGAGGTGTAGAGGCAGCTCTTTTCTTGAGGTAGTGAATCACCAACTCTTCGTCGGTGGGGTGGAAGCGGAACCCCGGCGGAAGCTGAACTAATTGAGAACCCGTCGACGAATCTGTACTCTCCATATCAACAAAATTACTTCGATTTTTCTTAATTTAGATTTCGATCAGAGAGAGAGAGAGAGAGAGAGAGAGAGAGAGAGAGCTGATCTTTTACATAGGTGTAGGACCACGGTATTAATATATGGTGACCCGTACAGAATTAATGGTCATACACCGTTGGTTTCAAAACTAGGATATTTCTGCTGTATCTGACGCCACGTCATATTCCAGATGGGCAAATTAGCCAATGGGCCCTTCGGATGTTATACTTACCCTAAAAATGTGTTGATATTATTATTGTGTAGCGAATTATTACAATAGTTCTTATGTTTTTTTAGTTACTCGCGGAAATAATTAGAGTGGTGTATCAACATAAGACCATTATTTTCCATTACTTTAAAACTGATCATATGAGTCGGTGCGAATTTTGGCTCACATATTCACGGGACTGATTTTCCGCACAAAAACATATCGATAATTTTTCAAATTTATCTTATTTCTTCGGAAGATGTTAAATACTACCAACTTCCCATCGTTAAGAACCATAGATGTATCCTCATGAGCGTATTCACGACGAAGTAACATCACCATCAAAGCTTTATCGTGCAACAATTACGAATTTCAAATTTATGAAACTCGTGAGTTGAACTTTTTATTATTCCCGGGGATTGGAATAACTATCCTCTATTTAAGAGAATCGTGATGATAAACAACGAGTTATTATTGATTAAAAATGATGCATACATTTCAATCGGCTAGGAAATATACAGCCAATGATATAGGTGGATGTTCTATTGTTCTACTTTTTGTCTACCTTGGCCTCCTTCAAGTGATAATTCTAGTACTTCATAGGACCTTGTCCACTTACTTCTCAGTCATATAGTAGGTCTCTGCATATCATTGGTTTATGTTATCATCCAAAGAGAGTTGTGAGAAGGTATTGGAAGAATTTTTGTTGTTGCAAAAATGACTATCGTATTGCCTAGTGGCGAAGAAAAAAAATTTGAGGATGTTACTCGTAAATTAGTTAGAATATATATATATATATATATATATATATATATATATATATATATATATATATATATATATACGAATGGTCTATATGGTTTGAGGTAATTTGCACGTATGATCTCTAATTTATTTTTTTAATCCGGACGGTCTTTACTTTATATTTTTGTTACGTTCTTGGTCCCTGCTATACATAAAAAAGACTGTTTTAACCTCATTTATTTTTTCTAAATTAAATTCTTATTATAGATTTGTTTATTATTTATTTCAAAAAGTAAAATGAATTCAATAAATCTCAACCCCAAATTCACCGGGTCACCCTCAATTCTCATCCCAACGACTCATAAAATATGTTACCCTCTCACCATATCTATTCTTTAAAGCTCTAAACAAAAAATAAGAACATCCAATGTAAACCATCAGACGCCGCCGGTCCACAACTATCTGAAACCTCTACATGTGATATTTTACAACCACATATATGTACTCTAATGTCGTCGGTCTACTCCGTTGACCTGCTTCGTCAACCGCCGACCTGTACCATCTCAGTGGATATGCTCCATTGCTGTCTATCTGCTATATCATCATCGATCTGCACCATCGCCGCCGGTCTATGGAAAAACTGATGGGTTTTATGTAAAACAAATAAACGTAAACTCTTAATTGTGCATGCAACCCTAATAAGGATCTATGTTTTCTCTATTGAACATATAACTAAGAACATCAAAAGAAACCCTAAAAGCCCTAGGTAATTTTTGAAATTACTAAAGAAAAGGTTTAGGGTTACATTACTTTTAGTTGTTAAACAACTAGAATTCTCCTTCATTGATCTTTTAGAAACAAGCATCACAACTATCGTGCCTCAAATGGAATCACACACAAACTAGCAAGAGAAAAACTATAGACAGAGGAGCAGAGAACCAAGATTTCGTCCAAGGCTTGTAGAGGGAAGGGATGGACGAAATTAAGGGCTAGGAACCTCCTTATATAGTTGAGGAAACTTGGTGCCAAAACTAGGGTTAAAGGGATATGCCCTAGATCCTTTGCTTGGCGACCAAGCAGCCCAAACTCCTTGTCCAATAGGGTCTTGGACGAAATCTGCTAGGGTTTCCCTAGAGATTTTCGTCCACCTCTTCCAAGGGGTTCTAGAACCTTTCTTTCCCAACTATTAATAAATAACAAAACAATGCATGTACTTTTAATTAATCAAATTAATCCCAAAATTAATTCCAATTAATTTCTGATTAACTATTAATTAAATAATATTGTTTCTAATTAATATATTATTTTCATAACACATTAATAAATAATTTATTTAATTTATTATTCACATAATAAATTAATCTCTCTCTCTCTTACTAATTATCCTGTCCAATTGCTAGGTTTGAGGAAAACCCAAAAGGACTGTGTTACTATCAATTCAAGTATATACCAATTTTAGTTATAGGCTTAGACTTCTAATCCAACAGTCTCGCACTTGGATAAGTCTCTAACTATAATTTACAATATAACTTCTGAATCGATCAGCAAATTGCAGCTTCCAAAAGCCGATGTCGAACTATGACCCAGTCAGTTACATGTCCTAAGATAAGTGATCATATAACCCTTCGTTCTTAAAGATATCATTCGGACATGTGACATGGAATAGAATCAATATCATTGTCCAAGACTTTGTTTCCCGATTTCTGATTTGTGATGATATAGGACTTCTAATTGAACACATCAATTTAGTCCTGGTTGGGCCCAACACTATAAGTCAACACCAAATCACCGAGGGGCCCAAAGATATCGCTTTTCCCGTTAGGGAAAAAGGAACGAATAAACTTTGACTCATATGATTGCATCCTTTACTTATCAAATCATGCATGAAAATACGTCTTATAACATCAAGTTACTGATACGTTTACACATTACCAATGTACAACCGACTTGTAAATTACAACTCATTTACCTCCATTTCAAGATCATAAGATATTACCGTCTCAGAATTACTCGTGATAAATTCCATGAAGTAATTCTCTGAGCTTGAGTTTATCCAGTACTTAAATCTCCATTTTTTAAGTACTCATGAACATTGTAGCAATCTTATTGCAATGGATAATCTCCATAGACAATCTACAATTTAATTCATGACAGTCTTAATTCACCACTTACTTCCAAAAGTATGAGCTGACTGTGGAATTTTGAATAATCGAATCATTCAGAAAGTAAACCATGCAAAGTGAAACACAATAACAAACTAATTAACTAATGGTCTCAAAACTTATTGAATGTAAATAAAACTCTTATTATTTAATCACCAAAATAATTAAGACTTTATTCATTGTATAATGTTTTGATTAATCAACTAACAACTTGAATTAAATAACATCAGTCATGCCATGTTATAAACATGCATACTGTGTCTCTCTATGGTCCTTCTTTTGCGAACAGATCGACTGAACACTATTCCAAAGATGCTCATTTCACAATTCCAAATTCTTGTCACTGTCTAAAATGTATTCGAATTACAACCTTACATGCATTGTCCTTCTGTGATGTCGAGGCTTCAAAGTCACAGAAACCAAGCCAACGATATTACAGAATGTCCCATTGAAACTTTGTTACTAGAAACAATTCCATGATAATGAAGGTTCAAGTTCAAGGTACACTCCTTGAACACTTCTCTTGCATTAATGTTTCCAACTCACATGTAGATTTAATAATCAACCCCCATTATGGACACATTTCCATATTTCCCATATGACCATCAATTCTAATCAAGATCATCTTAATCTAGAATCATGTCACTATGGTCCATCAAAATTAATACCATATGTCCAACTGTCCACAAGCAACCAATCTTCAGTAAACCTCATAATGTTCTTGACAGTTGTTTAACAACTCTAGTCACAAAAAAATTTAATCCTTTTCCTCTCAATTCTCAAGGCATTTGGAGAAATCAGAATACGTTAATATTATAGCATATGTAATCGATCAAATATCTGAAACATATGGGACACGATTCATTATATCCGATATCTGTTCAATCTCTTGCTATAATATTTTCATATATGGAATTTCCATTGTTGAACCATTTCAACATGATATTCACATATGTCTATGACTTAGTTCTATTAAACTATACGATCTAATCATTTAGATTCGAAACTAAGTATGAGTGCCCTCTCCTTTAAGTCTACTTATAGCGAAACAATTCCCAAACTGTGCAGTTTGTAAATTGGAAACATTGTTCCCTGCAAATAGTGTTGTCAACATGCAATACTAGCATAACAGTTATGCTCCTTCTAGCTTTGACATGTACCCATAAATCAACTGGACTTCTAGAAATCAATACCGTTGACTTTCTTAGTGAAGTATAGATTTCTGTTACGCGACACTTCGATAAGTCTCCAACTAGACTTCTTAAGCTTATACACCTTCATTGGATAGTGTATGTGTGTGTTTATACCCTTTTAAAACTTGTAGATATATGTCATGAAAGTTTAAACAACTCATTACCATTCCTCACAATTCGAAATATGAAAGGGATGCCGTAATCATATTATGAACTTGAGAATGCAATTAACATAGCCAATATCCATATTGATCTTTATTAGATCTTATAGTCTATTGGAGAAAGTATTTCCTCACAATCATTCTCATGAATTAGAGTGAAAACTTTGCAACCTAGATTTTATGGTGCATATGTTCCCATACATGTGAATCTATAATTTCCAACCTATAACCATAAGACAAGGTATAGGACAAAACCAAATTAAAATTTAGCTTTTCTTTCATGGACTGAGCTTCGCTTATTTTAAATTTCTTGCCCTATGGTAGCACAAAGGCCTACCAGTGCTTCCGTGTTGTTAGCAGCTCACCCATGTTGATCAATGTACTTTCACTGACCAACGTGCTTTGCTTTTGTAGTTAAATGAAAAACATAGAACTCATAAGCATTTCCAACTTAACTGGAAGGTGCAAAGAAATGATAATGTGTCAATCAAACATGAATGGTTATCAACCTCAATTCGTGTGCTAGTGATAACTAAAAGGTTTATTCTCGATTGACTCCTAAAACTCTCA